ATTGAATTGAATTGAATTAAAATCTGATGGGGATAAGCTGGGGCATGCTGCTCAGAGCTGGTGCCTCTTACGTCTCTTTCCTATTCTGGTTGGAGACAGAATTAAAAATCCACTTGATGACGAGGTGTGGCAGTTGTGTTTAAAGCTCAGAGAAATTGTGGATTTGATATGTGCACCCAAGCTCCATACCAACCAAGTAGCATATCTTAAGATTCTCATTGAGGAATACATCCAGCTAAGAACTGCCACATTCCCAGAAAAGACACTAAAACCCAAGCACCACTATCTTGTCCATTACCCAGAACTCATTCTTCGGTTTGGTCCCCTCATTAGGTTGTAGACATTGCGCTTCGAAAGTAAGCACTCTTATTTTAAGCAATGTGCAAGGAAACTGCATAACTTTAAAAACCTCTGCAGTACCTTAGAACGACACCAGTTGCTACAAGCATATTTACATGCTGGTAGCTTATTTCCACCAATTCTGCAAATGGGCCAACCAAGTAAATTTGATGACCAACTGTACCAGATTGGCATTTAGAGAGCTGTCAGTCTCAAGGGTCTCCGCCCAAAACACACTATTGAAACACCCTCTGTCACCTTCAAAGGCACTCTGTACAAAAGAGGCATGACTGTTGTAGTGGACCAAAATGACACAGGGTAGCTATTTGGGAAAATACTGTTGATACTGATAAATGAGTCAAAAGTGCATTTTGTTGTTCAGCAGTATCAGTCTGTGCCTGTTGTGGATCTTGGTGTGTATTGCTTACGAAGCAACTCAGAAGCACAGTACAAGTGTTTGACTGTAGACAAACTTGCAGATTATTACCCTCTTTCTGTATATAATCAATTTGGTCTTAACCTTGTTGCTCTGCATCATTCTGTGTTTCAGAAGAATGAGTAATGGACTCCATTGAGAACGCAATACAGACTGTGCTACCACAGCTAGATGGAGAGAAACTTGAAACTTTGGTCAATGAATTGGTGACCAAATTAAGTGTTGAAGGACCAGATGATCTGGAGTTCATTCAAGAAGATGACATCAAACATCTGCTCACACCCATTCAGTTTAGAAAGATTCTTCATTCCTTGAAAGGAGGTGAGATTACAGTTGCAACAATTAACCAATAACTAAATTAATAAGCAATCATTTGATCATCGTTTTGTAAAAAACAAGTCCAGATTATCTGATTTCAGTTTATTAGATGGGAGGTTTTTCATCAGATTTATGAATTCATAATGACAGGGCATATTAAACTGTTTTCCTGCAATTTTGTTTGCTTTTTGCTCATTAATTTGTGACTTTAATGTCAGAGAATCTAAGTCTTTTTCAGATAATGATTGACAGATTAATCAATATTCAAACTGCTTGCAGACCTATATTTTATGGGGTTATATAGAAAATCTGGAGGACATTATTTTGTGGTATCAAACTGGTCACAACCTTTTGTGTGCTTTCTCTCATATGTGTGTAATGCAGGTCCTACCAATCCCCAGCTGAGCCCGTCATCGCCCGAGCCACTGCCAGTTGCCTCTTCCAGCACATGCCCCATATCACCCACCAGTCCCATCTCTGCATGGGTGGACAGTTTTGAGGTGCCATGGAACAAAGTGAGACCAACTCTTAGAAGAGCAGTAGTTGCTGGTGAGATGCCATCTCCAGAGGATCGCCGACACTTACTGAGAGTCACCGTTGATGCGATGAGAGAGCATTCCTTGAACCCTACTCGCAGAGAGTGAGTGGTAGTGGCAAAAGCTATAACTCAAAAATATCCAAATAGCTTTTTAGACAAAACTGAAGAGGGGGAGCTAATTGGATGTGGGTATTTCAGTGTTATAAATCAGCTCAAGACCAGAGTAGAATATTTGAATCGAGGCAACACTCTTTCCCATCTGAGGAAGCCCAAACGCACCCAGAGAGATGATGAGAATGGTGATGACCAGCCAGCAGTAGCTACATGTGTAAGAGTCGACAGTTATGGGTGTGTTCGTTGGCAGCCAGAGGACTATCCAGATGGGGAAACATCAGCTTCATTAGAGGAAAAGAAGCTTGAGATGTTGGATATATTCAGCCGAGAGGGACTCAAGGGCGCTGAGAGAGGAAGGGTAGAAGACCTAATGGCAATCACTTATGCCAAACAGCGGGATTACATCAATGCAAACCCTTCCCCAAGCATTCTGGATGTGGGTAAAGAGTGGCCATTTCTCTTTTCACAGAAGTTTTTGTTGTCACACTTCACCAGTGTTGAACTATACAGAAGACTGAACGAAGACTTGGACAAAAAGGGTAAAAGACTCATGGTTTTCTTCAGTAGTCAGATTACAAGGTGGAGGAAGGAAGTAAGAGCTGTTCTGAAGGAAGCCCTAAAGGAGGGCCGAGAAGGAACTGATGGCCTAGCAGCGATGCTTGTGATGTTGGCACACTTCAAAGAGCAAAAGGATTCACTTTTTCTCCTTGCTGATGTAAGCTCCTCCTCCGTTTTCAACAATTAATTGTCACATTTATTGCTACCAGAATAATTTTCCCTGACTAGAGTGAAACATTTTACACCCCCCAAATTGTATTGCAGGTTTGCGAGCCTCCAATGGCATCTTGTACTTGGGTTCAAGTAAATGCAGATTTGCGTCTGGCAATTCTGTCTTTCTAGGAGTTTGTAGTTAATGTTAATAGTTTGACACAATAGGTTTCAGGCCAGGTATATAGTTTGAGGACACCTTTATGTTATTGGTGATTGAGCACTTTTTCATTGATAGACCTTATCTCACACTATGACCCACATGGTGCAAGCTTCTATCTCAATTCTTTTGTAGAGCATGCTGGGTT